CTGCGGGCTTGGTTTTGGGACTAGAGCGTTCCCTGGACAGGTGAAGTTCAAATGGTTGAGTGCAACCCTATAAAAGCCTGAACCCTAAATCTCAAACTCCAATTAAGTCCTAAACCCTAATCCCAAACCCTGAAACCCGACGCCCCGCTCAATGTGATGAATGCCAAGCCCTCAACACTAAACATTCCTAAACCCTAATGTAGGGGCCCTCATAATTCGAATAAGGTTTTGGGGTAAAATATACGCTAACTGTAATAAGGAACCCCCAAACTAGTAGAGGTAATTATTGAGACCCCTGCAGAAAATCACAAAACCCTATATAAAACAATTTTTCGGACCTTGAGCCACGGATCTCCCAATGCTGGCAGGGCAAGGACAGCTGGAGCGAAGTATTTGAAGTATTCATGCTTTGGGGGTTGGGTTTAGGGTTCAGGGTTTGGGGTTTGGGGTTCAGGGTTCAGGCTTCAGGGTTTAGGGATGATCTATGTTTGTAAGGTGCTTACTTTCTCTTGGGATCAGAATAGAAAGGTGCTGGCTCAGGGTTTAGAATGGGGTTCGTGTTCCGGGCTTCTGGGCTGAAAGCGTGGATTTTCTTCTGGCTTCCGGGCACTGATGCCGAAATCCTTCACACAGCGCAACTTACATGTCGCTAGCACTTCTCAACCAGTTAGTAAGCCCTGTAAAAAACCGTGGTAAATCCTAAACCCTAAACCCTAAACCCTTCTCTTCTTTACTAACCGGGCCCAACACATCACTAGATTACCCCCAGTAGACCCCTAACAGTAAGGGCACCCTTTTTTCTGGAACTGTCGAGCTGAACTTGACGCCCAGGAGCGAATGAGGCCCACTTCATTCCACTCCGACTGCCCCTCCGGCCCAGATCCCGCATCCCAAGAATGATACTTGGTGACCTGGATTCAGGAACGGTTTAGAGTTTAGGGCTTATGTAGGGTTTAGAGTTTAGAGTTTAGGGCTTATACAGGGTTTAGGGTTTGGGGTGTGCAAGGGTTTAGGGACCCACTAATGGTACTTGGTGACCTGGATTCAGGAACGCTTTAGAGTTTAGGGCTTACCCAAAGGCTCATGGACCCCCATAGTGAAAGCCCAAACCTTAGCCCCCAAAGCCCTTAGCAAGCCCATAACAGCAATAAGAGCCTTACGGCTTAGGGTTTAGAGTTTAGTATTTAGGGCTTTAGGGTTTGGGGTTTACAACGGTTTAGGGGCCCAGGAATGATACTTGGTGACCTGGACTCAGGAGGGGCTGTGTTTGGGCTTAGAGCTTGGGGTTTGTACGAGAGTTTGGGGGACCCAGGAATAAAACTTGGCTAGACTTTGAAGTGCTTAACTTAACCAGGGAGAATAAAGCATACACTTTTTAAAACGGTTGTTTCAATCATGGTTCCTTTAAGGAACCAGTCGCAACAAAACATGAAAGTATGGTACTCCAAACCCAGGTATATTCTTGGGGACCCAGGAATCCCTAAACCCTAAACCCTTAAACCCCCTAAACCGGTGTTTAAAGAACCCCTAAACCCTAAACCCTAAACTCTAAACCCTAAACCCTAAGTTGCTTCCAGGATTCCTTGAAGGGGTGCGAGAAGGATGTCTCAGGCTGATACGTGTTCAACCCTAAACCCTAAACCAGGGTTTAGGGCGTAAGGGTTTCAGGCTTTACGGCTCGGGTTTAGGGTTTAGGGTTTAGGGTTTAGGGTTTAGGGTTTAGGGTTTAGGGTTTAGGGTTTACGGTTCGGAGTTTTAAGGGGTTCGGGCCTTTTTGGTCGAGGTTCCTTTCAATAGATCACGGTCGCTAGGATTTGGTAACCCGAGACCCCAAAACCTGTGAGGCGGTCCATGGTTCCATGGCAACCCAGAGACTCCAAAACCCCTTAATTAAGGAATAGACCTTTAAATTATAATAGGATCCTATTATAATTTAAGGTATATTCCTTAATTAAGGGATATTGGAGTCTCTGCGTTGACATGTTTGAGGTTGGAAGCTCCAAAGTTTTGGCTTTCCGGTTTGGGTTTAGGGTCTTAGGGTTTAGGGTCTTAGGGCTTTAGGGCGTGGTTTAGGGTCTAAGGGTCTTAGGGTTTAGGGTGTAAGGCTCAGGGCTTGTAGGGTTTGAGATTTAGGGTGTAGGGTCTTAGGGTCTTAGGGCCTTAGGGTGGGGTTCAGGATACAGGGTCTCTGCGGCTTTGAGTGCTTGAGACGTTTAGGGCGCACCATCTCTTGGCGGGAAACCTTGACAATGCAAGGCCCTCGGATTGCATGTGACACAGGGGCCTGGATAGTCAGAATAGGGTTTTGGGGGTTCCCTTTAAAGGGTTCCTTTAAAAGGGCTACTATAGGGTTTAGGGTTTAGGGGCCTTCATAATTAGAATAGGGTTTTGGGGTTCCTTATTATAAGTATAGTATAAAATCCAAAAAGCCCTATTCCATTGATTACGGCCCCTATGGTATGGCTTACAGGGTCTGTGGCTTGCAAGGATTATGACCCTCTAACTTCAGGCTTCTCAGCATCGTCCCCCTACACCCTAATTATAAACAATAGACCCTGTACCTGGAACTCTAATCCCTACAGTAAACCCTGAACCCCCGCGTAAACTCTAAACCCCTAAACCCTAAACCCGATCTTACAACAGGGGATGAGTGGCGATTTGGTCAACAGCTCCTGCGACCGCCGTCGGACTATATTTCCTTGGTTGAAATCAGAAAACTCTTTAGGGTTTTGGGTACACTTCCGTTGTCGAGTATCATAGGGGAACTATAGGTTACCCTATGGGATCTTTATAGGGATTGCAATACCCCAGCAAGATTAAAGGTTACCTACGCTACAAGTGAGAACCCCCAAAACCCTAAACCCTAAACCCAGAAACCCTGAATGGGTAGTTCTGTTAATTCGGCTCTGTAAGGATGCCGTATTATGTTGTTAGGGTCCTATAGGGTTTAGGGTTTAGGGTTTTGGGTTTAGGATGCGGTATTATGTTTGGGACCTCAAAAGGGACCGCGAATTTGGAGAAGTACCTAAATCCCAAACCCAAAATCAGAAGCACAACTTGCAGACGGTGAGCACAATTCTAGCTTGGGTTTGGGGTTTCTGGCATCCGTAGAAACGACACTGGCTGAGTGAGTGAGTGAGTCAATGTTGCTGCCGCAAACGAACATGGAAACAAAATCCACAGCCAACATTACCAAAGCTAGCGAAGCCAAAACTGAAGTCGAAGCTATAGAGCCAATCACATCACATGTCAACCCACATGCAACTTGTGCAAAATGCCAGCACTCTTCGACACTTTTTTTTTGCCAACGTTGTACTGATTCCGATATTTCGTGCCGGGCGCACTCGCACTGTTTCTTGCACCGCCTCACAGCTCTGTGTTCTCAATGGCCTGACAGACGGCCGCGTAGTTCTTCTTGTCCCACGGGGCTGCTGCCCCGGCTCCTTCCAAGAGAGACACCAGCACGTAAGGGGCTTCAAAGACAAGTTTGGCGCGCAAGCATAGATCCTGCCCATCTGAGGACACCAAGACGTGGATGATGTGACTCTGCGCAGGCCCATCTTTACGAAACTCACCCAGCTTGCGTTTGCCAATCTTTGGGTTGGCTCTCGAGCCATCGTGGAAGCGGTCCAGAAGTTTCCTTGCATTCGGGCCCTCGGGCGTGCGAAACTCCATGTCCCTCTTTGAAAGCTTCGCAACTGCTTCTGCAAGCAGGAGTGTCTGCAGCTCACAGAACTCGTAGAGAGGTTCAGTGCCCGAACGTAGTCCCTGTTAAGCTCCTGGCGGTTTATCAAAGCAGTGGCCAAGGCTTGCCCAGAATAGGTACGAGTCGAGTCCCTATCCGGGCAAGTTCGAAAGCGATTTAAAAACCCTAAACCCTAAACCGTAAAGCCTAAACCCTAAACCTCCTCATCTATACTATTTCTCAATACCCCTTAATTAAGGAATATACCTTAAATTATGGTAGGACCCCTAATATGATTTAACGTANNGGGGTATTGGAGTCTCTGGGGAGTCTAGCATCTTCACCGAAAACACCAACTTAAATCTAACCCCTAAAGGCCCTACAGCAACCCCAGCCTAACCTCAACTCTGAACCCGGCACCCCAAACACTTAAACCCTGAAGTTCAACAACCCTTTCAGGCACCCCTAAACCCTCTAACCCTAAAGCTCTAAACTCTTTCAGGCACCCCTAAGCGCTTAAACCCCAAAGTTCTAAACTCTTTCAGGCACCCCTCAACACTTAACCCCNNACCCTTAACCCTAAAACCTAGACCCTTAAAGCCCTACACTTTTAAAACCTCCATGAAGTTCTACAAACTCAACCTGAGAAGTCTGAGAGACCTTAACCTTAAGGGTCCGAAGGACCCGGTAACGAGGCACTTGGGCTTCAGGGTTTAGGGT